ACACTGCTGAGGGGAGCAGCGGGCGGGTCAGGAGAGGTCTGCCTCGCCATGTGGATCTCCTCCAGAGCAGGCGGGAATCGAACTCATGCGGAAGTGACTTAAGCTTCTTATTGCTGTGCTTTAACCCGCTGCGCCACCAGGGAGGGCCTGGCACCAGTAGTTTTTAAAGAGAACTTTTTTTAAATTTATTTATTTATTCATATATAACTGGGGTACAGGCCAGAGATGCAGAGGGTGAGAGGCTTTACCAGAGACAGAATGGGGAGCAGAACAGGCAGATGGACAAAGTACACTGCTGAGGGGAGCAGCGGGCGGGTCAGGAGAGGTCTGCCTCGCCATGTGGAGCTCCTCTGGGGCAGGCCAGAATTGAACTCATGAGGAAGTGGCTTAAGCTTCTTAGTGCAGTGCGTTAACCTGCTGCGCCACCAGGGAGGGCCGGCACCAGTAGTTTTTAAAGCTCTCTAAGTGAATCCAAGAATGAGGGCCGCTGGCTTTGATGACCCAGTAAACCCAGGAGGGGCAAACATTCACCAGCACAGAGAGAGGGACAGGGCGGGAGGAGAGGGGTCAGCAGCTTACTGCTCTGTGTTTGAGCCTCTCCACTCACAAGAGTGTGTCTGCAGGACATAGCTCTCAGTAGCTGCTAGAAAGAAAAAGAAAGCCTTTATGCAGAAGCAGGGGAAGAACACTGAGGAAGAGACATCCTTTGCAAATGGAAGGATCACACGAACTTGTGCAGAACACACACCTTCGCAGAGATGAAGTGGCATCAGCCACTAAACATACTAGGTATTGCCAACTTTTCATTTTGGGAATAAAATAAAAGGAGCCATAAATTTGGGGGGAAAGCAGAGCCCTTTCTTTAATAACTAAATCTGTTTTTGAATATAACAGCAGGCCGTTCGTCCATGTGAAAATTTAAAAGTGGTGATGCTTCTGCTTCTATGTGAGGTATCAAGATGTGAAGGAGGATGAGAAGACAGGCTTGGGCATCCTACAAGGGCCCTCCTTCCGTCCTTCAAAGGCACTCCAAGGACAAGCCGACCTTGGGTCAAGCTGGCAAAGGTGATCAACAAGAGCTGGTCAGAGTCAGACCTGCCTGCAAATCATGCTTCTTTAAGAAAGGAGAAAACCAGACCAGAAGGGGCTCAAGGGAGACATCAGGAGGAAGTGTGAAGCAGAGGGAGAACACTAGGCGAAAAGTCACTCTCCTGCCGGAACTGACTCAGAATGGCACAAGACCTGAATTTGTCACTTCCTCTCTCTGGATCTTAGTTTCTTTTAAAAAGTTAGGCATTTGAGGCCCTCCCTGGTGGCACAGGATTTAAAGCACAGCACTATAAATCTCTCTGCCACCACTGCAGCTAAAGTTTGATCCCCAGCCCCGGAGGTGACCCACATGGCACAGCAGACCTCTCCTGTCTCATCTCCTGCTCCCCTCAGCAGTGTGTATCAGTACATCTGCCTGTTTTGTTCCCCACTCTGTCTCTTATGAATACTCTCACCCCAAAACCTCTGGCCTGTGCCCCAGTTCTTGTATGCATAAATAAATACATCTTTTTAAAAGTTAGGCATTTGAGTCCCATGATCTTCAAGGTCCCTGTTTAATCTACATTTAATTTTTCTTTAACCCATGGGAAGAGGGCATCCTGGGATTAGTGAACTCCAGCATCTAGAGGGGTCAGGCCACCTGGGAATGAAGCAATGGGTGGGGGCCAACTGCTAAGACTGCATACCCTGTGCGTACTCAGTAATCCTTCCTAAACCACTTCTTGCCCATTGTGATGTGAAAGCTGGTGAATGGGGAGGAGAGAAAAAGAGCGCTGAAAAAGCTTTATTTTTTAAAAAAAAAAAACAGGATTCCAAGGCTGTGACTTGACCGTCCACAATGAAATCTAAAGTGGGCAGCTGCTATTGAACTTCAGGTAGTTTTGCCAGAAGGAACCATCTTGCAATGTTTGGGAGAAAAAAAGAAATATAGATTTTTATATAGCCTGCTGATTGTCTGAATTTGGCAGTGAATTCTCTTATAAAAAGCTAACAAAACCCTGTGTCAATCAAAATATATCTGCAGAAAGATATATCTGCAGATACCTGCAGGCCAGGAATTGAAAACTTCTTCTGATAAAGGATGTTATAAGTTGACACTTCTTATTGGGTCTTGCCAAGACACTGGTCCAAGATAAAAATGCAAAGTTCTTTCTGGATTTTTTGGCAAAAACTGGGACTGCAACTTGTGTTGTGCCTCTCAGCCCACAGAGCTGAGCCTCCCCCACTATTCTGGCATTGATGCCCACAGCTGTTTCCCCATATGCAACTAGAATCTTTGTCCCTTTGCGGAGGCGGTGGGGGTGTGCTGGAGTTCAAGGGAGCCACTGCAGCCTTTCCACATTACCTCCTCCCCCATTTTAAAGCTAAGAATTGGCACCCTTGATCCAGAAGGCCATGTGCATGATGACCAATAAACACAGACAGGGCAACTCAGGAGACAGTTGCAACAGCTCCACGCCATATCCTCAGGCCCCAGTTCCAATGGCCAAAATACTGAACATTTGCTCACTTCCAATGTACCATCCACTCAGGCTGATACAATTCCTAATCCCAACTATGCTCAATTGTTCTTAACCAAAATAGGGGACTCTTGCTTGATGGTTTCTTATTTGACTGTGACTCTGAGAAAGGAAACATACTCTTATATATCAAATATATTTATTCTTAAAGTGAGAAGTCCACAAAGGATAGCTAAAGGAGAGTGAAATACTTAGAGCTGAAAAATGGTGGGTGCTAGCCACACCTCAAATACAGTCACAGCAGCATTATCCCAACAGTACTTTTCCAGCATGGCAGATCACACGTGTTAAAATTAAATGCATTCTCTGAACATCTCTTGATGATGTGCACAAAGACAGGTGCAAACATCAGGGGACTCCCATCCTTAAGATCTTACAGAATGGATTCGCACACACTCCAGAACAATATACTATAACACATCCCAAACAAGTCACATCCACATTTCTAATAAAAAAAAAAAAAACATTTTTACTTTAAAGTAAATTAGGTAGAAAAACTGATAACAGCAAGAGAAATACATGCAAGAAACAGATTGCTACTTTTATGAGCAAGGTACTGGATTCTTGAATCGAGAATCAGTGTCAGTCCTTACTTTCAACATCACATCAAAAAAAGTGTGGTGGAAAAATGAGTCACCTTCAATATGAAGGATGGGAGTTGTATACACCGACAACACTCTCGAGATACAATGGTATTGCAGAAGGAATGCCAGTATACAGAGTGGACCTTCTTATCGGGCCAGACACTTGAGAGTTATCAGATGACCATTCAAATATTTGGGTTAAGAGACTACAATGTTCTGGTTGAGTCACGGCACTTGCAAAGAGCCATCCTTGACATTGTGTGGAGTCCCCACAAGTGGTTAGCCACTGATGATGGCAGGGATTTTGGGTTAGACAGCATTCTAGACTGAGAAGCTGGCATGCTGCCTTGATGACAGACAAGGTCACTAAGAACACCAGAACTGCAAAGTCCGATTTGCTTAAACTTTCCCCCAAATCATAGTTTTTGATACATCATCTCTGAACAGAAAGGCTTCACTTCACATCTTGATTCTGCAGAGTTATAATGCACCTTTCCCCAATACCACCCAATACCCCTAAAGTGTGTTTATTCTTCACAAGAATACACAGAATGGACCTTTTTCTCCTCTCTAAAAATTATTTCCCCAAGAGAGCACTGTAAAACCGACTTAAAAACACCAAGTAACCTTACATTTTCTCACCACGAGTTAAATATCAGACCTCCCACCCCTGCTGACTCGAGCTGCAAAGCCTTGTATACACTTTTCAGACTTTCCTCAGACCATTACCACAGCTTTCCATCACCATCAATCATCCTTCCCCAACCTTTCCTTACCCAAAGTGAAAGCTAGTGAACTGGGAGGGATGGAGAAAGGGAACTGAAAAAGAGCATGACTTTTATAAAAATAGCGTTCCAGGCTGTGACTTGACCCTTCAAAGGAAAACTGGGTATCATCCATACAGATCCCAGAACTAAATGCTCAAATGACTACCTTGTTGTAGCCAGGTCTCAAAAGCTCAAACTTACACCTACTGGAAGAAAGTAGCACAGGCTTCCTAATACTGAGCAATACAGACCTAGAACTACACGGAGAACATGACAGGTGAAGAGCAGTCACCAGGTGGCTTCATTCAGCGATAAGAGGCCAAGTTCTCCATCCTCCCCCAGCTCTGCCATTCTGGAAAGAGCCCACTGGCCAGCCTGGGACTGCCAAAGACTGTTGACTCTAACTCAGTCTTCGGAGGCACCTGATAGAATGCATAGTCCTGGGACCCCCTCTCTGTCTGCACCCCATCTGGCTTCCATTGCACGTGAACAATTCTGTAATTCTGACCCTCATTGTTGTCCCAGAAGACCTGACCATTAGCATGGTAAGAAATGCAGAACTCAATTTTCTCCTCAGTTGGAATGACGGCAGGTAAGTCAACGGCAAAGGAGAAGGTGTCGCTCTCCGAGCCACCGTACACATTTTTCATGTAGACACAGTCCACATCGGTGTAGCTTTTCCAACTGTCGAAAGTGATGCGGATCTGAACCTTCTTCTCAAAGCTCATATTTTTCACTTTCACAGTCCCCGTCATTGTTCGCTCCTGCAAAGAGCAGTTCTCCAGGCAAACAAAGTTCTTCTGAAAATGGTTCCGAAAACTTAGGTAATCAGCAGAAGGTTGAGGGAAATCTAAAATCAAGGTTTTCTCTTCATGGAGTTTCAGGCCAGACGACATATCATTAATGTCCAAGAGATCAAACTGGAGGTCCCAGGCCGGTTCTTCCGGGAGGTCAGAGAAGACATGGATGGCAGTAAGAGACAGGCCCTTGGAATCAGCAAACACGACGTGCTTCTTGGCCTGGCTGTGTGAGCGCTTCCAGTCGCTCTGTGACTTGGCTTCCTGTTTTATATTGAGACACGGTTTCAGAGGTTTTAATTTGTTCACAAAATTTCTTCGGTGCAAGTCATTGTAAGGGCCCAGGAAGCTCTTCAGGGGTGGTGAATGAGCCAAGCAGAGCCTCATGGCCACATCCACTGGCATGACTGAGCTTGTCAAAGGCCGTGGATCTAAAACCTGGATCATTCTGGAACACAAAAAGAAAAGAAGGGTTATCACCTGGATTTGTAATACCCTTCTCACGACTCCAAATATGTTTGTGTGTGTGTGTGTGTGTGTGTGTTTATATATGTGTGTATGTGTAGATAGATGTATGCTTGTATCTATATATACATATACACATTATTTTTGTATTGTCTAAATTATAGTCCATACAGTAAGTGTCAGGGAGCTACAACCCTATGTAGCAAAAGAAAACAGGATTAAATGACCAGACCTGCATTCGATGTTTGGCTCCACCTTTGACTGGCTGTAAGGCCATGGGTTAAATAGTTGCAATACTTGAGGGTCTTAGTTTCCCCATCTGACTAATAAAGGGGTTGGAAATGTTCTGAGCCAGTAATTCTCAAAACTTGTCTGATCACCATGGCTTCAGGTTCTTTTCCTTTAAGGCAGACTCCTGGGACTTAGAGCCAATGCGGCAGATTCTCTCAAGATGGGGACCAGAAGAGAGATAAGGTCTAAAAGCTTCTAGGGTAATTCTAAACATCAGACAGATTCTGGAACCATCTAACCAGGTTCTGGCTCTAGACTCTGTGCTCCCTCTGGCTGCTTTGCTGATTCTGTTGTTAAATTGATTACACTTCTCTGGACCTGTAATCCATTTGAAAGAAAAATATAACAATAAAATTTTTGTAGGACAATTTTGAAAGTAAGATGGCTGGAAGGAGTAAAGTAAGAAGATTGTCTTTTGCTCTTTAATAATCATCTTCTTCCTCATCTTTCACAAATAACTCACTGAAGTGCAGGTCAGCAATTCACACCCTTAAAGAAAAGATTCACTTAATCTCTATTTCATATAGAAAGATGACCATGATGAGTCTAAAAAAGCTGTTTATCTGAAATTTGAATTGTATTCAAGATACATGTATGTATGTTTATATATACTGAAAATCTCAGGAAGAAATCAGCGATTTTAGGATTATAGGTGATCTAGATTCATCTTCTTACTTTTTTGGTATTTTCTATGTTTTGGCAATAGATATTTACAATTAAAAATTAAAGCTATTTAAACATCTAAACATAACTATGCTTGGTAATATTAAATCAAGAAGTATGTGACAAAAAGGCTTTTCCCCTTTTAGCCTTCAGTATCTGTTTTGCCAAGACTACGATGTTATTTTTGCCCTCTCCTAGGCTTGCTTATAGATAAGTATGTGTATATACTACTGTACATAACATTTCTCAATCTGCTTTCAGCAATTCTTCACAATGGCTCCAAGCACACACACAAATGGTCATTACCATAGAAAGAATAATAAAAGACCATTCTGAGAATTGAGCATTGGGATTTTTCTGGGAGTTGTACAAACTTAGAACAAACAAGTGAAAGTTACAGCTATATTTGTGAGTCTAATAATAGTTAACAGAATTTCTAGGGAACTCTTGCTAAGTTATGTCTGGAGTAGTTATTTAAAGTAATTTTGTGGGAGGAGTTTTTGTTTGGAGAGTTTGTTTTGTCTTGTTTTTACTTTTTGCACTTACAGAAAGACTGCTTTAGGGTTCTGTGGTATCCTTTGAATCTTAAATCTTAGCAGCCAACAGCGAAAAAAATAATTTGTTTCAACTCTGAGACTTAGTTTGCATTGGTAAACTTGAAAGAGAACGAATAAATGCAAACCTCGTCCTATACTACCCAATTCCCAAGCTAAACTACCAAACCAGCAATGCCAAAGGGCTGTTTCCACAGCCTAAGCAGCCCCGGTCCTCGGGACAGTTGCGCAGGAGGAAGAAACAGTAGGAATCTATGAAGGAATCAGAACTAAAGCCACTTCACATTTCAACGGTTTCTGGTTCAGGATGCTGATTACCAAAATAAGCTCTGCCTAAGTAGCACCCGGCAAATTTCCACACCTCCCAGGCATCCGGGTCAGCTTCAAGTAAGTCATCAGTGAACATGCCCTCTCCTCGCAGTACTGACACAGGACACCGCAACCCAGCCTCCCCTCAGCTGCGCTCTGGTGGAGAGATCTCTGCCCCAGGTGGAGAGTCTGCAGACAACCTACCTGGTGCAGCTCATTTGGCAGAGATGTGGCAGCGGACCTTAAGAGCCGGCGCTCCACTACCTGTCCAAGTTAGACCTTCCAGGCTTCGTGGTAAATGGGACCGATAGCGGGAGCGGCGCCGAGAGGCCACTTATCTGCTCCCGACCACGTGAACCAACCCTTCGGACCAATCGCCAGACCGTAGGCCCCGCGGCGTGCCCAACCAGCGCCCTGCTGGGGCGCGAGCCCTCGCCCGGGAACGTGACCGCCGTGATACTGGACTTGCAGAGCGCAGGGACTCCAAGGCCAGCTGGACCCAGCGGCGCAACGCGAGCCCTCAGCGAGGGGGCGGGGTGGGGCGTGGAGGCTGCAGCGTAACGTTACGCACGTAGCAGTGCTGGACCGCAGAGAACTGCAGCAAGCCTCAGCCAGGCGGGGCGCCAGCCTGGCTGCCGGGGAGAAGCTGCCTTTCACGTCTGGGGAAGGCTGTGCACATTTAAATCTGAGCAGGAGAGTTGTGACTCGTCCCAATGTGAATACTGTTGTTTGACGTGTTTGTTTGGCTCACTGGTGGCCGCGCATCTTCTCCCTTACTTTGGTGCGAGCAGGCAGCGCTGGCTGCAGGGTTTTGGTTGGGGGTGAATCCGCAAGCGCACCGCACCGCAGAGTAGAGGATGGCTGCCAGGAACCAACTTCAATAAAGCAACGACGAAATTTGATTCAGAGGCACTCTGTATCTCCTTCCCCTTTGCTCCCTGGAGAAGAAAACTACAGTCAGAAATGATGTGGCCATTGTTGGCCATGGGGCGGGTCAGCGAAGGAGCACGAGCTGGACCCACGTCCCTTGACTCGATTCTGACGTCCTTCAGCATCACTGTGGAAGTCAAAATACTAAGATATCACCCACTGAGTTTCATGTTTCTCTCAAGCCCATTTACTTTTGCTGAGGTTTCATTGTTCTGTTGAGTTTGAGAATTTTTAGGCCATCAGTTACAACTAGAAAATTAAATTTCTAAGTCGAGTCTAAATTACTTTTATTAAACCCACGTCCCAGTGCTGAACAATTAAACTGTACAAAACAAAAACAATAACAAAAAACCTACCCTGTTGTCTTTTTAATTGCTGTCAAGCAGTGGGATTGTTGTAGTGGAATTATTAGAGAAAAAAGGAAAATTGAGCATCACTGGAGAAGATAATGCTATGCTTGATTTTTTTAATGAAACATCCAACTATAGCTTTTCCAAGAGTCTGCAGTTGTAGCCTGTGGGATTGACAATAGCTATGTGAATCTAGGAAAGTTCTGTCCTCAATTTCTTCACATGTATCATGGAGACAGAAAAGTTCTGAAGATTAAATGAGAAAACTCAGCACAGAGCCCAGCACATCTGTTTAACCCATTCATTCTCAAGCCAGTGCCCTGGCCCTCAGTATTCTTTTTCATGCTAATACCAGCTGAGGCAGGTGTCTGAGCTAAGATGTAGATGGTAGCTAGTGCTGTTGGAACTTTTACTATGTGTCAAACACTATTTTAAGGTTTTTATATGTTTCATCCATTCATTCCCATTACAACCCTAGGTGGTATGTACTATTACTAATCCCACTGTAGAAATAAGGAAACCAAGGCACGGAGACATCCAAATGTATGTGGGGTCACAGGTAGAACCAGGCTTAGAACCTAGCTGATACCAGACAGGCAACAATTATTGTACCTTACTGTCTCCCTTTAACAACCCAACAACAATTAGAATGATAGAAGAGGAAGGTATCACAAGTATCATTGTTTTCTAGCCTTCATTTCACAGATGAGGAATCTAGATCTCAGAGAAGCTGAGCTGCTTGCCAGGGACCAGTGAGCTTAGAGTCAAAATTAGAACACGGGGTCATTTTTTCCTCAGTGCATGATCATACATTGAGCTAAAAAGTGGACATTACCAATCAAGTTTTGAAAACAAAATAATAATGTGATCCCATTTAGAGGAAATGTGTGATCCCATTTAGAAGAAAGATAAGTATACATAGAAAATATAATATTCTTAGTGAGGGATAAGTTGGAAGAAAGGGGACAATGGAGAATTTGGATATTTAGCGGTGAACTTAATGTCATATAGATACATGTTGATTCTCAACAGTGAATACCTGACGCCTATATAATGTTATAATGCAGTGTTAACTTAAAAAAAGAAAGAATATGCTATGTCAAAATGTGAAGTTTTTTTTTGAATGGTGACCTTATGAGTAATTAAAAATTTGTCATTTTGCTTTTCTGTATTTTTTATTTTTTCTGCAATGAACATTGTAGAACTGTGTGATTGATAAATCCTTTTTAAAGGCTTTTAAAACTTGCAGAAACAGTGAAACATGTTTAGCCTACCCTCTAGGTGCCAAGAACATATCGGAGGCTTTCACACACTTGTCATTTCCTCACATAGTTCTTTTGAGTTTGCATTAGTTCTATTCACGCTGCTTTCTCTCCTGCCCCCTGGTGCTGACTGATGCCATAAAAGCCACTCTCTGCCAACAGCTACATTCGGGAAAAGACAGCTGTCTCCTAAGAGTTAATAAACCTCTAAACTCAATAAACCTCTAAACTGAATGATCTAGGCGTCTTGCTCCTGTTTTTTTTCTTTCCATTTTGTTGAAAGAGAGTGACATATAAGTTTAAGGTATTGATACACTTCTCTGTTACAAATTGATTACCACCAATCATACCATTAGCTAACTCTCCCATGAGGGCACATATTTATACTTTCATTTTTGTGGTGATATTTAAGATCTACTCTTTTAGCAATTTTCGGGTACAGCTGACTCCTGAACAACTCAGATTTGAACTGTATGGGTCCTTACACATGGGTATTTTTCAGTCAATACAATTGTCCCCAGTATCAGCAACCTCCACATTCACGGACTCAACAACCATAGATGTTAATTAGTTGGTTGAATCTGAGAATGTGGATAGGAAGGAGGCTGACTATAAAGAACTTGAACACTGGTAGATTTTGATATCCAAAGTGGATCCTGAAACCAATCCGCAAGGACACCAAGAGTTAAGTATTAAGTTTTGAGGAAGTCAAACATTATACTCAGGTTTTCAACTGTATGAGGGTCAGCACTTCTAATTCTCTAACTGTTCAAGAGTTACCTATAGTACTGCATAACTACAGTATAATACAATATTCATCAAATTGTATTATAGATCCCTAGGAGTTTATACTCTTTGACCAGTATTTCCCCACCCAGCCCCCGTTTACCACCACTCTACTCTGTTTCTATGAGTTCAGCTCTTATAGGTTCCCCATTTAAGTGATAACATGCAATATTTGTCTGACTTATTTCACTTGACATAATCACTTCTAGATCCTTCCTGGCTTTTACTGTCCTTCATTATGGGATGAGAGGAACTGGGATGGGATCAGTTTTTTGGGTAAGCATTATACCAGTGAAGATGTGGATTAGGAGTTAGGGGTAGTTTTATTATTATTGGTAGATTTTCTCCAAGTATACTTTGGCTGCTTCCCAGCAGTGTTTTGTTCTAGCCACCTCAACAATAAATCTATCAACAAGAGTGTCTTCAATTGAGCAGCATCTCCAGCAATGCCAGGAACCAGAAGGACTCAGAATTTACAGTGCTTTGCCTTCAGGATGCTGCAATCTTTAGTATGAAATATCTAATTTAAACTCATGAAATCCCCAGGGGAAAATCTAAAATGTCATGAAGCAAGGGGTCGATGAATGGGGCTTATGCAAGTGGGTCTCTTATACCATTTACTCAACACCTTACTGGAGAACACTATCTGATGTTGATAGTTACATCTCCAAGCTGCTGCAGTTTTCTCCATATTCACTAAAGGATCAGGATGAAGAAAAGTACAAGTTAGAAAGGATCTATGAAGAAAAGCTTATTAAACAACTACAAGTGTTTACAAGGCATTGGTATGAATATTATGGAAGATAGTAGAAAGAATGGATTGTACAGGGGATGAAATAGGAAGAGCCAAAATTTAACAGAGTTAATAGAGAAAAGCAACTTGGAAAAAAAAATCACAAAAAGAAGGCAAATTCTGAAAAAGAGTAATAAACATATACTAGTATTATCAACTAGCTTAAATGTATAGAGTTTTTTTATGGTATCAGGTACATGAATAAAAATCAGACCAGTGAGTCTGAACAGTCCATAAATAGATCTACTTTACATATGAGAAGTTAATATATGGTATATGTGGCCCTGTTTAATAAGGGGAGAGGGGAAAATGGATTTTTAGTTAATTGGGTAGCCAGTTACCCATTTGGGGGCAGAAAAATCGAAGGATGTCAATAAGACACTTTTAGTTGATGCCTCTGTGGAGGAGCACTGTGAGAACACAGCAACATGTACTAAAAAGCCATCTCAGGAGGCAATTCTGCAAGGGTAACTGATATAACTTGCTCACTGGAGACTTAGTGACTTGGTGAATTATCTTTTTAACTCCAGTTTATGGGAAAAACCAAAAGTAGCGCAGCAAAGACCAAATCCACTCAGGAAGAGAGAAGTAATACAATGCATATTCTAAATTCTGTTCTTTCTGTCTCCCCTGGAGTAAACATGTGGGTGTGGTTGATGGAGTTTGTCTGTACCAGCTGAATGATGTTCTCAGCCTCCTTCTGGGCCAAGCACATACCTCTCAGTTCAGTCCCATGTTTGACTAAATCTTGACATTCTAAATCATTAGGACTTAGTGTTCTGATTCTTTGTTTGCAAACTCAGAAGCATATGAGATGCAGTGACTCTCTCTGAGCACCTTTCACTCACCAGGTTCATTCTGTCCAGAGGCAGGTATTTTTTCTGTGCTGTAAACTGGTTTCTTGAGCTGTGGTTATTGGAGGGGGTTTAAAGCACCTTTGTCAGAAGGAAACCAAACTGAAAACAGGCCCCCTTTATGAGGTACCACAACATTTTATTTTTTGCTTGACAAAATTAAACTTCTCCTCTACTGATCCACTCCCCCACAAAATCACACAAACACAGCACATCGCCCTACCCCCAACTCTGGATTGACCCTTAATAACTGCTTGTTCCAATGGAGATTCAAAACCATTCATGCCCTTCATTTAAACGACAAAGCTTAACCGTGGAA